ATACAGTATTCCCTTGACTCAAGCTACTGGTGCTGAGAAAATATTACACACTGCCAACTAGCAGCCTTTAGTTCAGAAGCTGCTTCTCCAATCTTATCCACTCTGCTAGAGCAAGCGAAGCAATATCTCAAAAGATACTTCCCGCACTCCTGCCACCTGCAGCACACAATTCTTCCTTATCAACTGAATGCACAAGAATCTATTCCACATACAGTCCTGGGAGGCATTTAAAAAAAAAAAAGAGGGGGAAAAAGAGCTGCTTCTAGCAAGATACCAGAAATGGATGCAGATTGTAAATTAAAGAAACAGAATATGCGAGTACTTGGAATGCAACTTAACAGCTGACTCAGACCCGATTCTTGGTATGGGAGATTGACATGGCTCCATCTCATGCCTGTTTAGCAACAAGATGATGTAGAAAGCACTGACTAAGGACATATTTATGCGGACAGGACTGCAGAAACATCAGAGGTAGAATGGGCAGGTGAGGTTGGAGTGGTTCATCTCACATTATCCCCTTCCCTCCTGCGTGGTTTATGCAACACTGTATCTCGGGGGGGGGGGGGGCAATGGGATTGCCAACCATGCCACTCTCGTAAGAGTTAAGCCTTAGCCTGGCCAATTTATGCAGTCAGAAAAATCATCTGATACAGTCCCGTGTGAATAATACCTATTTGCAATGCGGGGGGGGGGGATCTGCATTTCAAATGCTCCCGTGCATTAAAAAACAAAACAAACAGAAAGTTATTCACATGTAGAAGAGGACTAGGACAGATCCCCAGCCCCTGATGTGCCAGTATAAGGGATTGTGGGCCTTTTAAAAAAGGAAACAGAAAAACAGAAAGAAAACAGGGATACAATTGAAGTGTGTTCCGTTCCTCAGTAGTCTGAAGGGATACTGTCTGAACAGGACCGTGTTAACTCCTACACTAGAGTTCTTACTATAATTATATGTGTTATATTAAAGAAGGAATAATCTATCTATCTAAACCATGCTTCCCAAAGTCTATTGCCATTTTGACAAAAAGTCTATGGGGGTTTGAGTGGCGTAAGGGATGGGAACACCTATATTACAAAATCAGAATGGTCCAGCTGTCATTGGGTTCTGTTTGGTCATTCTTTGTTGCAGATAAATAAGCTTGCTTACAAAGTTCTAGGTTCCAGGTACCTCAATTGACAATCATGACAACAAAAGAGTCTGAACCTGGTTAAAACCAGTATTTCAGGTGGAATAAGGAGCATAGAAGCACAAATTGTAGATAGACCGTCTAAAAACAACTGAATTGCCATAGCTTCCTCCAAAAACTCCACCTCCATTTCCCTGCATTTTCCTAATCCTACAGTTTCTAGGAAGATCTAGGTTCAGAACTTTGGCAACTAAACATATCTGAAACTGATTAGAAGTATGTGAGGCAGTGTAACTGTATTGAATGGCTCAATAGGCCTTGATTTAAAAGATTTCTCAACAAAAATGGCTGTACTCCAAGCACACTTACTTGCAGGTAATACTGTTTGCAATGAATCGATTCCCCTTAATTGTGTTTAGGGCAGGCACACAGTGAAAAACAGGGTGGACTTCAATGGATTAGCAAATGTGCTAAAGGATAAGAAGCAAGAAATCAGCCTAATTCAGGGCCAAATTTACCAGCAAACAAAATACAACTATGGCCTTGATTTTTTTAGATGCTCAATAGTCTCTGAGGGAAAATGAATGGGTTCTCACCCAAAACAATCCCCTTTATAAATAAAAGGTTGAGAGTATAGTGCAAAAAAAGCTATTGGTGGTTGGTTTTTGAAACCAGTTTCACAGCAGCATCAAAATAATCCAAGTTACTTTAGTGGGGAGGTCAGCTCTGATACCTTGGACCAGTCAAGCCAGAATTGAGACTTCTTAAAAAAGCAGATCTGATTGCTATAGGCATGTTGTAGTCAAAGGTTAGCATTTTAAGTCTCTTTGGACTTAATGGAAAATTTAAGCCTAAATTGAACTATCTACCAATGATATCAGTGGAACTTAAACATGCTTCATTTGGGTTTAACTGTGTGCCCTGTATTTTTCATTATTTTGAGGCAATAATTAGATACCACATGAGTGAGTTAGTCTGGAATGAGGGCCTCAGTTTGTAGAACAACAAGCATCTCCATATTTCAAAAAAAATGGAAAAAAGATTTCATACTTGGGAAGAAATAGCCTACTGCACTGAGAAAGTACTGGGATGCAAAAGTTTAGGGGTTATGCTAGATAAGATGGTGAGAAAACACATCTGCTTCCAAAACATATCAGTCATACACCTGGTCTTCTAACTTATTTGATAACACCACACCAGTTACGATTTCCCCATCCACATCTGCTATAAACAGTCAGTGATGGAGTTAGGGAGCCGAGAAACATATAAGATCATGTAAAACCAACACAATTTATGGGTTGAGAGGTCTCAGTCTTAAGACTTCTTCTGCTCATCATTTCATTGGCCTGTTTAGCGAATTCATTCGTTGAAGGATGGGCTATATTTTGGAGATGCTTAAACTTGTGGTGGGAAACAAGTTCAGCATCAAGTAACCCTGCAATTTCTTTACTATCGTATGTTCAAGTTATAAGGAATGCCTTTCAAATGGGAGGCAGAATTTGTGCAGGCCACAAAGAAGACCCTTGGAGTCCACAAATTGTGTACTTCTCACCAGTGGCAAAGTATATCTTATACACTTGGGAGCATGTGTGTGTATCTTGTATCTCTTCCAGAAAGCATTCAAGCACATTTCTAATTCTGAGATGAAAGCCCAGGTACAAATGGATATGACAGAGTGATAGGAAGAGTTTTCAAATGTGTTTTTGGGGAAGCCCATGTACATTGACATGCTGCATGTGGATGTATTTATTTTTGTTTTATCATGGGTGATATCCAACGAAATCGTCAATAACTTAAGTCTGTTGATTTCAGTTGGTCTTCAGTTGGACTAACACTATATATCACTCGTATTTTTAGACCATCTTTTTCAACTGAAATTCCCAGGGTGCCACAGAATCAGAATACAGAATAGACAGCCAACAAAAAGCACCATAAAATAATAATAATATAATAATAATTTATAACAATATACAGTTTATAATAATTTATTATTTATACCCCGCCCATCTGACTGGGTTTCCCCAGTCACGCTGGGTGGCTTCCAACAAAATATTAAAATACTAAAATAAATAAATTAAAATATTAAAATGCAGTAATCCGTCAAACATTAAAAGCTTCCCTAAACAGCCAACAGCAGCAGATTGCATAGTCACACGACAGCAGATGATGAGCCCTCAATGGCCAAGCAAAATAAACAGGTCTTCAACTGGTGAAATGTTATCAGAGGAGGGGGTCTATATGACTCCAATGAAGGGAATTCCACATTCAGGGAATCATGACCAAGAAGGCCCTACAAGATGGAACTCTTAGCATCATTAGCTTCAGTACTGTCTAAAGTTAACCTCTGACATCAAACCTAAGTGACTGCTCAGAGAATGCAGGGCAAATGGGGTGACAGCAGAGTATGAGACTATTAATCTCAGGGTTTGGGGTTCGAGTGCTACATTGGGTAAACAATTCCTTCATCACAGGGGGTGAGGCTGGATGGTACTTGTGGTCTCTTCCAACCCTACAAGTCTATGATTCTGTTTATCACCTGTTCTGCCTTTTCTGTTGTATCAACTGCACCTCATTGTACAGAGTACAGTGGTGCCTCACAAGCCGAAATTAATTCGTTCCGCGAGTTTTGTCGTCCTGCGATTTTTTTCGTCTTGCGAAGCACGGTGTCGGGAAAGTTTTGGAAAAGCTTCAGAAATCACCAAAGTCTTTAAAAACCTCAAAAAGGCTACCACACCGCGTTCTATGAGTTGCTCCTCGAAGTCAAGTCGCAACTGTATTAACAGTGTTAAGAAAAAGGAAACAAACTTGCAAGACGTTTCCGTCTTGCGAAGCAAGCCCATAGGGAAAATCGTCTTGCGAAGCAGCTCAAAAAACAAAAAACCCTTTCGTCTAGCAAGTTTTTTGTCTTGCGAGGCATTCGTCTTGCGAGGTACCACTGTATCCTGATGGATTGCTTTGAACATTATGTGGAAGTGAGAAAGCAAGAGGAAGATGTGCAAAGGGGCAAATCGTGCATCTCTCCCATGAGAGATGTGCCTGTGAAGCAAAGATAGCTTGCAGCAGATGTGTGACTCCCCTTTGAGATGTTGTCCCCAAAGCATGGAAACTGGAAGGACTCACTTATGCTTTCTGCTTCAATGCTACCATGCGCCTTGTGGGAATCCTTTGTTCTCCAGTGTGTAGAGATCCACAATGGATTAAATCCTACATGTCATTTCTTTTGGGGCACCTGTAAAGTTTTCAGATCAGCCATAAAGAGTCCTTCACCTGATGGTTTCTTGTTCAAAATCTGGTCTTTCTGCAGCATTAACTAAGATGTGAACCAGTCTCCCTGTCGCCTATTAAATAAGAAAAACTCTGGTGCATCTACAGTGGAAATTTTATAGCTGAGGTGTATGTTGCATAAGTTGTTCTCACTTCTGGATGTCTCTGTCTCTTCCCTCTGTTGCTTTCTCCAGGTCATCTGGGCCAACATTGGTGTTACATAGAAGCCAGAACTTGTGGAGGAGTCCAATGAGGAGAGTGGGCAGAATATTTCAACCACTGACAATGAATCAATTGGCAAATGGATAGTACTTAATACAATGATACAAGGCATGTCACTTTGTTAACACTTGCTCAAGCAGTCGTCCAACCCTTTACTGACCCTTGTGAGCTACTGCTGCAGCCTAGTGGCATTATATGGGATGATTTTTTTAAAAAAACAACAACACAAAAACAAAACATTTTTAATCAAAAATATCTAGACAATAAGTCATCTGAGCAAGTATTGCAGAGGGAGAGAGAGAGAGAGAGAGAGACCGTCATCACCTATTTCCCTAAGATATCACACTGAGATCAGGAAATGACTTTCTGAGTGCTAGAAATGCTTACCATTTTCAAATTAACCCTCTCTGTCTTCAGCACTGAGTCCTTTAATGAGAAAGATGAAACAATGTAGTCTTTGTTTAACAGCCACATTTATTGCAGAGCTCCCTGGATTGCTTTTAACTTTAACAACAAATTACTTTGGACGATATAATACAAGAGAAATGATGCTCATCTAGGGACCATGGCACTATGTGTAGTGTTTCAATTTTTTAATGTTGCACTTCTGTTTTTGGCACACAAACCCTTTTGAAGCTATGTATTCCTGTACTGGGAAGATTCCTACATATTTTTGAAGTAACAAATGACTGCGACTCCGAATAAAAATCAATACACTGTCAAACATTGCTTAAGTATGCCCACACATAACATTCTGCATATCATGGTAGCTACAAGGGAAAGGTTATGCCTTTAAGACTAATCTGTTCCACCCAAAGTTGCCAACCTAAATTGGAGACAGACATGCCAATATAAAATGAGTGCAAAGCAAGCAGCAAGAGCTGTATTCTCCCCCATAGTTACCCCCCCCCAAAAAAATCAATCATATGATATGACAAACATAAAATGAAAACAGTGTAAGTGACGTCATTTGTTGTGACATTGAGCCTCTAATAAAATTAAATCCATCTATTTAAATGCCATATTGATACTCAGAACCAACTAAAATCTTAAAAGAGAGGCATTGCATTATGGAACGGTCACCCACACTCACTGAAACACATTGCACAGTAAATCAGATTCCTTCACCAGGGCAGGCTTGAAATTGAGGAGTTTGCAGAGCTAGAACCAGGTAATTTGATTATGTTCCAAAACACAGCATCTCTCTCCTCACCCAACCACACTGACGGCATGAATCTAGAGGAGTCTCTTCTCCTCAGAGTAGAGAACTTCTCTCACTCATTCTTTCCTCTCAGCCAGCTTTCCTTTTGCTCTCATGCAATTTCCCTTTGGAACAGTTAAAAAACAAAAAAACCAATCACAGCAGAGGAAGGTATTTCGGATGAAAGCATATTAGCATGCAGGGTGATATGCAAGAGTGCTGAGCAGCAGCTCTCAAGAACAAAACATTTCTGGAAGGAGATCATTTGGAAATTTGGTACTGAACCCTAAGCCTAAATTTGGCCAGATATGCATATGAAGCCAGCTGCCACACACACAAAAATGAAGTAAATGCTTTCTCCTCCCTCCCTCCCTCCGAATCAAAATAATGCCCCTCCAAGCATCTTGGAAGTAATGGATATGCAGTTTTGAACAACACAGATGCGCGCTCTCTCTCTCTCTCTCTCTCTCTCTCCTTTACCAGAGTGAAAGACGAGGACAAGAGGAAATGGCTCCATTTGTGTGCAAGCAAACAAAGATGATAGGTCAGGTTCCACTGGCTGCCGTTTGTCACAGACCGCACGTGCGGTTGGTGGCATCCTTTATGCTAAAAGCCCTGTTAGGTTTAGGTGGCTACATCTGGCACCGTGTTGCACGTTCGCTTGCTGCTAATTTTTGCAGCGCAGCCGTAAGAGCAGCTGACAATGCCACCAACGGTGACTTGTCAGGAGCACGGATGGGGACTTGCAGCATGCTGCATTAATTTAACACCACATCAAATATGGATTTTATTGCAGCAGTGACAGTAAAGACTCGCACAACTGCTGCCTGTATTCCCACATAATGTGCTCTCTCTCTCTCTCTCTCTCTCTCTCACACACACACACACACACTGCTTTACTCTTTCTCAAGTACACAAAGCGCGATGGGTACACACGCTTAGCATTCTCTGCTTATCCTACAAGCCATCAAGACAGGCACATAAGTTTAGCCCATGTGCATCAATCCATCCCCACTGTCTACAAGGAGTAGCCTGAAGCAGGATTCGCACTGTGTGTGTGTGTGTCACATTTCACAGTGAGATATTATTCAGAAGGAGGAGGAAAACTATGATAGTGTTATTGATGGAAAAAGAAAGCCATTATCCTCCGTGCAAGGATGCTGCAAGACCTGGCTTGTGCATTTGCAACTGAAGCTCTGACCATGATAGTTACCCTTGTGAGAGATTAAGCTTTTCAAGTGCACACAGAATTTATCTCCCTCCTGGTTACCCTCCTACCAATTCCTTCACAACAGCAAAATGCCGGTGGGCTGTGTGTTGTAAGGAATTATATGTTACTCTGACTCTAGCTTGGCAGTTAATGAACCGGCTTTGCAAACTGCATAGCTCTGTCATTCTTGAGCAGGTAGAAACGCAGTCCAGCTAGAATTGCACAGATATATATATACTGTATATGTGCAATTCTACCTGGGCTGCATGCATATCTATATATATCTATATACACACACACACACACAACTTCTCTCTTACGACCATCATGCAATCCTGGAGAAAGTTACATCTTTCAGATCTCTGCTGTTGTCACAATAAACCACACTGCTGTTAACAAACTCTCTCACACACAGAATGAAAGCTAGAAGCAAGAGCGTTCCTACCTTTCTGCCGCGAATGAAGTAGCGTTCAACAACCTATGCAAAGCCGTGGGATAATTGCAATAGCTTCCTTCCTCTTTGTTTTAGTGGTTTTCTCCTATTTCTCTCTTCCCCCCGCAAGACTGATCCTACTTGAATTTAATTCAGGCTTATTCTCCGAGCATCACTTAACTCTGGACAGCAGGGAAAGGAGGGGCGAGGGGGGGGGAAGCATTCGCTCTCGCTCTCTCCCTCTCCTCTCTGACTGGCTTTCATTCAGAGCGCCTGATTAAAAAAAAAAAAAGGAAAAAAGCCACCACACAGGAAGAGAGAGAGAGAGAGAGAGAGAGAGAGAGAGAGAGAGAGAGTAGGTTCTGATGATAGAGGCGAAGCACTTGCCATGGGAAGGTTACACAGACTGGAAGGAAGAGAAGGCTTTTCCAGGCTCACAGTGATTTGCAAGTGAATGTGGTGGGAGGGGAAGAAAGAAAGGAGGGCTTTCTATGGAAGACTCCCTCCTCCTGCTCCTGACAGAATGGCACTCTTCTGCTTCAAGTCCAAGGTAATCAGTTCATCTATTCCGCTTGCTGTAATAATACACAATCACAGCACCGCCACTCCTGGGCTTTTCTTGCTTGTTTGTTTTTACACCCGCCTCACCCCACACTTCCTCGTTAGATATCTAATTTTCCTCCCTCCTCACCGAGAGAGAGAGAGACTGCGGCACTTGTCATGTCAAATCCAACAGACACCCCCCCCCACACACACACCACCTCTCAAATTAAATTACAGCCCTCTCAGAGATGATATCGAAGAAATTGGTGTTTCCAACTCACACACACTCTTCAACTGCCTGGTCCGGGAGAGACGGGGTTTATCTGCTGCTCATCCTCAGCTATGTTACGATGAGTTTGCTCCCCCCCCCTGTTATTGCAAGAAACGAGTTGTACTGGACGCCTTTCTGGCAGCCTCTGCCCCTCCCCCCAAAAAAACAAACAAACAAACAAAAACCACCCTACACACCAAACAAACTTGAGTTATTCCGACCTCTTTGGGGTCCAGCGTTTTTTTTTTGTTCCAGCTGATCTCTGGCATCACACTGTGTTGGTAACGTTTACTGGGATCGCCGCCCTGTAGCTTTCCATTCTGCGGATGTAATCCTTTGCGCAGATTAAATCTGTAACAGTTGATGCTCCCTAATGCAACAAATTGGACTCAGCACAATCCCTTCTTGGATCCCACTGAACCCAAACCTTCAGCAGTGGGAGAGAGAGAGAGAGAATTGCAGAGACTCCACGGCACTTTGGGGGCAGATGCTGCAAACACTCCCCTAAGCCTAAACCAAAGGATGTCAGTGTTGCTCCATCCACTCTGTGCCATGAGGAATTTTATTTATTTTTTATTTTTTTTAAAAAACCCTCTTTAAAATATGAGAATTGGTTCAAGTGTCCACTTACGATGGAGGGAATTTTCCAAACAATAAGGTAGGCTGTGAAGTACTGCTGTATTTTGCTCCACACCACCACATAATTTAAATTGGCTACAGACATATTTAATAATTTAATTTGTTGGTGTATGTGTTATATTTCAGATCCTGTCCATGAGAGCTCACAGTAATATCTATATGGCCCACAAAAAAAGGAAACAACGCCTGTTAAATAATAAGCCTCAACAAAGAGAGTAGACTTGCCAGAATAATAAACAAACAAACAAATGTATATCCCTAGAGGCCCTCTGAATGAATGAATGAACAAGGATCAATTCTGCCCTTTATCCTGTAAGTCAAAAGAGAACAGATCTGAGATTACTTGTCACATGGGGCACAAGTAACCTATAGAATAGTGATTAGCAGCTGGAAGTCCCTAGATCAGTACCCATCAGGAACTGGGAGTCATAGCAAAGGCAATAATAGGATATGCAAGAATCACAACTGTCGCAATAGGACTATCTCAAAAAGCTGCATTTGGAGGTCAGTTTGCTATCTTGGTTTTGAACATCTCCATCCAATTCTCAAAGTGGCCTTCTAATTGCTGACCAGAGGACAGCTGGCCTGTGCCATAATATGCATTTCTTGTCCTCCCAGGCTGAAGTGCCTGAAAAGTAAGAACGCATTCTGTCATTGCAATTTTATAGAAGTCATAGCTATAAGGTGAGGCGGCACTGGTTTGCGCTGTTCTGGGGTGAGGTAGAGACATCACCCTTGTCAAAGTTATACCTGTTTGAAGGACTGCGGAAACACCGCAAGCAAAATGCTGTATTTGTCAGAAGATGCTAGCCATAGTTGATGCCTGACAAATAGATGGCAAGGGAGAAGCAACAAAATAGTCAAGTAAGGCTGAAATCCACACACTTACCCAGGAGTAAATGCCATGGAATTTACTGAAACTTCTGTCTAAAAGTAAACACTGTAAAGGATCTGAGTCTGGGAAACCCACTGTGTGTATAGCAAAGAGTTTGGGGCTGAAATCCCCCCCAACTTACTCAGAAGTAACTATAATTTAACATGGTGATACTTACCTCTGAGTTGTATATTGTACTTTAGGATTTGGAGTAGGCGGACTTGAGTTCAAATTCAACCACACAACACAACGGGATGGTCTTAGACAAGCTACTATCTCACAGCCCAACCAGCACACCGGAGACAGGGTGACATTTGTGCGACTATAACATTGAAAAAGTCTCTGCCCTAAGCTTTACTGAGGAAAGGCAGGGAAATTTGCTTGTAACTGATAAGCAAAGCTTGCCTGTAAAGCTATTCACCACGAGAAGCAAGCTACAAACACATAAATGCTACAACTGAAGTGTCATGAATTGGTATACTTCAAATAGTTCAACTGAAGGAGGAAAAATATCTGAGGGAACTGGGGGGGGGGGGAGAGATACATCACATCAAAACACAGTTCCTACTTATTACGTCGTGCTGGCTCCACACCCTACAACAGGCACCTCAAAATCTTGGTCTTTTCTTAAAAAAGCAAGGCAAAAATTGCAAGCACTTTTCCTCAAGGACACACAGCCACTTGCCATACTCTCTCTGTTTCCTTTAACTCCAAGTTGCATCAGTCACACAGACATACCTGAGCAGTCCACCTCCTCAAATCGTTTCCCTCCATTTACCCGAAGCTCGGAATGAAACAGTCCTCGGTTTTTTGTAAATTCTCCACAGACAGAGTCAGCCATGTGAAGTCCTGCAGAAACTACAGGCGTTTCCAGCAAAGCCTATTCTGCTTCTGTTTCATAAAGGCACCAGACCTGCACACTTTCTCTCCGTTGCATGAGGTCAAAGCAGCCTCTTCAAGCAACAGCTACCGCAGCTCAGGACCCGGAGTTAGCGAGCACTGAATTTAGGAAATATGGCACACCTGCAACAGAAAAAGGATCAAGGACTGAGAGCTGCTAGGGCAATTCTGGTCCCCTGGGAGATACTGCCTGACCCTTCAGTTGCCAGCGCAGGCAAAGAAACTGGATGAGCTACAGTCATGACAATGAACATTTCTGCCATAATTTGTGATATATCTGTTTGTGACGTATATGTAACAGTGAATGCCCTGGATATGGTGAATGCTAAGACTCATATATGAATGTTGATGCCCCAGGATATCTTGAAAAATTGTCACAGCCCTTATTCCCCCCTCCCTTTCAGACATGCCGGTGAATGTCAGTAGGTAGCATGGAGCAAATGCTAAATGTTAGCTATCAACATTTACTAGTATGTCTGATAAGGGGGGCAAATTAGGGGTTCACTGCATTTATTTTATTTTTTTAAAAAAATATACTCCTCCTTTCCTCCAGTGAACTCAAGGTGCCATGCATGAATCATCCCTCACCTCAAAGCTTTTTGTGGGCATTTTGACATGCTGTGAAAACGACCCCTTTTGGTGTGTCGGTTTTTTTGTGTTTTTGTTTTTTTTTGAGGGGTGATTTTACAAAAATGTGGCAGATGTCTTTAGTCCCAAGGTAACTGTCTCAAAAAAAGCCCCACCCCACATTTTAACAGTGTCCTTCCTTGCAATTCTTTTCCTTTTACTAATTCCACACACCACCTCCTTGTTTCTTCTCATTGTGATCCCAGCCAGTGTGTTCCTTGTGATGTCATAAAACCACGAAGCAACTCATACTGGATTATGTGTCAACATTACTGAGGGCAAAAAAGCCAGTCCTATTCCATAATAATAATAATAATAATACCCCACCCATCTGGCTGGATTTCCCCAGCCACTCTGGGTGGCTCCCACTGAATATTAAAAACACAATAAAACATCAGACATGTCTCTGCTGTTAATACCTGCATTTCCACAAGGTGGGATCATAACAAAGTAGCCTGAAGGTGACAAGTTATTAATAATAATAATAATAATAATAATAATAATAATAATAATTATTTATTATTTGTACCCCGCCCATCTGGCTGGGTTTCCCCAGCCACTCTGGGCGGCTTCCAACAAAGATTAAAAATACATTAAAATGTCACACATTAAAAACTTCCCTTAACAGGGCTGCCTTCAGATGTCTTCTAAATGACAGGTTGGGAGGGCATTCCACAGGGTGGGCGCCACTACCAAGAAGGCTCTCTGCCTGGTTCCCTGTCACCTCACTTCTCATAGGGAAGGAACCACCAGAAGGCCCTTGGAGCTGGACCTCAGTGTCCGGGCAGAACGATGGGGCGGAGATGCTCCTTATTAGAAGGGGAGGAAACACTGTTGCCAAGGCAATTACAGCGCTCTGAAAAGATAGAAAACATTAGTGCAATCCTAGGGTTGCCATGTATCCTCTTTTTCCAGGACACATCCTCTTCTTCAGGGCTAAAATTTCTGTCTGGGTGGATTTTTAAAATTTGCCAAAATGCCTTTGGCTAAACTTTCTGGATGAGACCAAGACATAACTGGTGGTTGAAGACTTGCTTTCCTCTTCTCTTCTCCTGCCCCCTCAGCAATATATCACATATTCTATAGCCTACATATAGTAGGGACATTTAAAATGAGAGTCGTCATAGCGCCCTCTATAACTGTCCCTTATTTGAAGGGACAGTCCCTTATTCCAGCGCCATGTCCCGCTGCTGCCCCTTATTGATGGATGTCCCTTAAATGTCCCTTAAATGATGTCCCTTAAATTTCAAAGGAAGCAGCTCCTCTCCCTCCCTCCCTGCCGGCCAGGGAGGAGGGAGGCTCCAACTGTGTTGCTTGGCTGTGTTGCTCACCCAATAAGAAGTCTAAGAACGACTGGGGGTGGAGCTTGCATGCCTTGTGTGTGGCTAGTTAATGCAAGCTGAGGGGTTTTTTGAATGCTGGACGCCATTTTGTTGCACGTGCTGCTGCAAACTTTGCAGTGCAAGGCCAGG